GCGTTTAACCGGAAGTGGGCGTGGCGCCGTCGCTCGAATGGCGTGACAGCTGATGTGTGCGATTGTGTGTGTGTGTGTGTGTGTGTGTGTGTGTGTGTGTGTGTGTGTGTGTGTGTGTGTGTGTGTGTGTGTGTGTGTCGGCATTTTGAAGATAGCTAAAAATGCATATGCCTATAGAACTCTTGACTTTTCCACCAACCCCCCCCCCCCCCCCCCCCCCCCCCCCCACTCACTCCCCCTTCATGTGGGTTACTGTGCAAAGTTAACGAAACAATCAAGGAATGTTTAGGGAGAGTTTACTGTGAGTACAAAATAGAAGTCAAACGTTTGTTAATATGTATCTGCCTATACTTTAGCTGTATCTGCAGCTGTATCTGTATCTGTATCTGTATCTATTTCTGTATCTGTATCTGCGACAAGAAGTAGTTCTTGGTTCTATGCTCAAAGAACCAAGTCTTGAAATCCATGATGTGAAGCAGAAAGCTATTCGATAAGTTAAATATTCCTGATATGTTTTAAATGTTATGCTCTTATAGCTTTTCTAGCTTTTCGATCTTCTGTAATCTTTTAGCTATGCTCACTAAAAAGCCAATGGAAATGAGAAAAGCTAAAGCGGAAAAGTAATTAACTGGTTCGTTGTTTAATAAAATGTTGAAAAGATTTGAAATGATCAATTCGCTAGCTAAATTACGTTAAAAGGCGCATGGCCAACCGATAGTTATCGATGTTGTCAAAACGACCGATAACTATCGTATCGAATATTAAAGGAAAAGCTTGTTTAATAAACTTGTTTGCCTTATACATTTGTTAATTTGTTGCAACGAGCTCTTATAATCTGTGAGTTATGCCCACTGAAAAGCCAAATCCCAGCCTGAAGATTTATCGATATTTTTTTATAATCAGATAACGAAAGCACATAACAGTAAAAGAAGGTAAATAAACTCGTTTGTTTCATAAAAAATAAAAGAAAAAGTTAAAAATATTTGCAAATTTCCGATCGATCGATATTTATCGATCGAATTGTAACGCCCGATAACTTTATCGATAACATGAAATAAACGTGTGCTAATTAAACTCTCAAAAAGCTATTTACATTATCTACAGGGTATCAAAGCGCTCAAAATACGCACGAATTTGTTCACATTTTGAAATCAACAAAATGTTTAGTTTTCCAATGCGAGGCACATAAATAACATGCAACGCGCTCTAGAGCGAGACGGGCAGATTGCTTCGAAGTGTCTCTCTCTCTCTCTCTCTCTCTCTCTGTCTCACGCTATCTCGTTGAGTGTGTTTGTTTTAGGAATATGACTGTTTAAATACCATTGAAATGGGTACTAAAACTACTTAAAACTTAAATGCGAGTGGAAATTGAAATTGAAATGGATATGGGAAATGGGAAATGGGCACGAGAGCTAGACAAACTATATGTAGTATATATATACAGTCATAGTCTAGTTATAGATCCATTTGAATGCTCCAAAAATCATCTTCCACCCAGATCCAATGGCAATTGCGATGCGTCTTTATAATCTGTATGTTATGCAAGAAACTAAAAAGATATCTCATCAAGTCAACGAAGTGCCAGAAAATATAGTCCAAATTCCAATTCAAGCATAAATTCAATTGAACAAATGTTTTCCTCTTTGTGAATATTCGGAAAAACATTTTCAATTGATTTGCAAATTGTGATCATTTTTAAAGAGTATTGCCAGGCATTGCACGGCTCTTGTCGTCATTTTTTCGCTCATTTTTCACCCGTTTGGGTGGATTCTTGTATTTATATGCATAATACTTTGGATATGTTGATTTTTCAATTGAATTTCGACTGCAATTAAGTAAAATAAACTGAAGATAAGCCCAAGAAATGGCATTCCATCAATATGCTCGCCCTTTTTTGAGCATAATCAGCTGATAATTGGCCAAAGGTGGAAAGACATAGGAAACTTATATATATATTATGTACATACAATGATCGGGAAATGTTTGCTTTTGATACACCAGAACGACTCCGACTCTTATCGGGGCTGGGCAACAGTTTGGCCGGACAATCTGTGGCTCACGTAGACTTGCAGATACAATTGTATCTGACAGATACGCGCACGTGAGCCACAGAAAAAAAAAAAGGTCGCTTGCTGTGCGCTCGGCTATTGGAAAATCCTGCCACGCCATAAGGCACACACATGTGTGTGCGTGTGTGTGTGTGCAGATGTGTGCGTGCGTGTGTGTGTGTGCGTGAGTTGTTGTTCCTCTTTTAACTAAAACAACAACAACAACAGCAAGAAGAAGAAAACTGTAAAATATTCTCACCATGTGCCGCGAAAAACTTCAACGCAAATGCACATCATAATTTATTTTAAATTGATTTTCAGTTTGGCTTATTTATGTCGTATATATATGCACACATACACACACACACGCACACATATGCAAACATGCAAACATATATGCAGCCGAATGTCGGCTGCTATTTTCGCCCACAGCGCCCCGCCCCGCCTCTTTACCTATATACACATATATTACATATATATAAATATATATATATATAAATGTATATATATGTATTTCGATAACTTCCAGTTGCTGGGCTCTAAATATAAATGCGACGACGACAAAAAATGCGCTGGAAAATTGGGAAAAGTGCAGTCGGTGGGACAACAACAACAAGAAGAAGAAGAATAAGCAGCAGATGAAAAGCGAGAAGAAGCGAGACAAAGTTAAAAGCACACAAATGCTGCACAGAGAAGTTCTCTAAATATAGATAATGCCTTACAAGTGGGCCCTAATACATATAAACACATGCATATATGTATGCATGTGTGCATGTATGCATGTGTACATGTGTGCATGTATGCATGTGTACATGTGTGCATGTATGCATATGTACATGTGTATATGTATGCATGTATGCACGTATGCATGTGTGCAAGTATGCATGTATGCATGTGTGCATGTATGTATGCGAAGCCCTCTCAAAAGTTGATATATGCAAGTTTACAGCTAATCCATCGAGAGATAACAAAGCAGAACTTAATTGAAATTTCCGCTTTGCAAGAAACGAAAACGAAATAAGAAGAAAACAGAAAACTGAAAAAAAAGAAAAGAGAAGAGAAACAAAAAACTGGAGCAATTGAAAGAAATTGCGCCCAAAGCAAAGCCGATCGCAAGCTGAGTGATGGGTTGTAAACTAAATGCAATAAAACAACAACAGGGGGGGGGGGGGGGACGACACGCACAGACACACACGCACACAAACAAACAAACAAACAACAATAGCTGGCAGCCACATTAATATGAATGATAACAATAATAAACCGCAAATGTCTGAAAATATATGCAGAATACATGGACAAGAGCGAAGAGTACGGGCGGGGAGGGTGAGCAGGAGAAGGGGTGGGGAAGGAAGGTGGACGCAAAGTGCGGGCAAGTGCGGTGTTTGTCGCGGCGACGGGGTCGGCAGCGAGAGAGCGAGAGAGAGAGAGAGAGATGCGTGGCAACAATTGTTGCGTCGCAAAGAATTCCGGAAATTGTCGCAGCTGCGCGCAAACCACAGCAATCGCTCTGTGATTCATTATTGACTTTAATTTGACATTATTGTTTATTTATTTACCGTTAGTTATAGTTACACATAGGATAGGACACATTTCTGACGAGTGGAAAAAATATACTAGGCGAGAGATATGTTGTCGGATATATGTCTTTATATGCCATATGATTGCGATTGATTGGAATAGCTTGTAAAATACATATCTTTTTATAAAGCAAATATAACTAGAGTCGGGCCGATTTTGGATCATTGGACCTAAAATATTATAAACAAAATAAATAGTTGAGGGTTTTGTGAAGAATTCGGTTCAAGGTCCCATACAAGCTTTAAACTATATCAGATAATGCTTATCCAGATATTCTTTATGCACTTCATTATTTATGGATATATAACTATATAAATCGGTATGATGCCATGAATAGATCAGATATTGCGATTTACAACTAAGAGTAACTATGTATATACATATATATGTATATATATAACAAATATGGCAGGCGACGCTTAGTTGGATTTACGACAATTACGCGGAAGCCAAGCAGACATTTAACTTTGCACGTAGACCAGCTAATTTCCAACAATAACTTTGCATAGCTCTGTCGAGTGTGTGAGTGGGAGAGAGAGAGAGGGAGAGAGGGAGAGAGAGAGAGAGAGAGAGAGAGAAAGAGAGAGAGAGTGTGTGTCATAAGATTATCTAAATTGATTGCAATTGATTGCGATCTATGCTGAGGCAGAAAGTTAACAGCACGTAGCACATAACATAATTATGTTACTTAACATAATTATGTAACATAACATATGTTAATATGTAACATAACATATGTTCGTCGTGAAAGTCCCATTTTCGCAGTGTGTGCGTGTCTTGTAAAAAAAAAAAATAAAAATAAATAAAAAATAATATTAATAGATTTCGCATCCGGTTTCAAGAACGGAAAGCGGAAAAATAAATTTTGTTAGTAAAAAATAAAAGAAAATAATTTGCGAATATGGAAACCTTCCGGTTTGGCTTTGTTGCTTTTGTTAACTAAACAAATAAATATATTTTATTATTGCCGCAAGAATTTATAAACTTTGCATAAAAAACAAGGCACAAAAAACTCTGGCGTTTCGTAAATAGATAAATTTAATTAATTATGTTTACTTATTTCCATTTAGATCTATAAACTATAAACTTTTATGCTTTGTGGGAAGTGAAACTTTTGCTAGCGCCAAGACTCACGCTCGGAATTTGAAGCTAATTAATAACTGTGTATTATTATGATATATACATACATACATGTATATATATATATATATGATAAGCATAGTGAAACTTGTTAAGGTGGAGTTACGATTGTTACTATGACAGCTATATAGATATAGTGCCACGATCCGGCCAATTCTCAGATATGTAATGTCTGCAGCAGAAAGACGGATCTGGCCTTACAACTGGAAGATTAGTTCGCAAGTCAACTCGGCTGCTGATCTAGAATATATATATATATATATATATATATATATATACCATATGCAATCGGAGATGTCTCCAGCTGGGGCATTACACAAATTTGAATACCCTCTGCAAGGGTACAAAGAGTCGCACTTGCCAACTGAGACTCGAGTCCAACAATCTGACAATCAACAACACGAACGTCAGTAACCAGCACGTTGTTGTTGTTGTTGTTGTTGCTGCTGCTGTTGTTGTTGTTGTTGTTGTCACCCCAGCACTTGGAAGTCAAACTATTTTCCTTTAATTTAATAAGAAAATTGCTCTCGCACACATTCGTGCAATGTCTCTGTTGGGGCTGGAGCAATGAACGTTGCGGTCAACTTGCCGTTGTCTGCAGCAAAGCTGCAATTGTTGTCGTCGTTGTCGTTGTTGTTGTTGTTGTCGCGACAACAGACATTTAAAAATAATAGCAAGCACCCGGGCACAAGAAATGTAAGTCAAGCGTCACATCGACAACGGAGCAGCACATAAAAAGTAACTAAACGCCAAAAGTGGAAACGAGTTCGAGTCCAAGTTGTAATACCCTAAACCAAAAGTTAGACTATATCGATAGTTATCGTTTTGGATGGCAACGAGACAAAAGAATTGATATTTTGCCATAATTAATGAAAGTATCGTATATTCTTTATCGATATTTATCGATTTTGCAGCGAACAATAACTCGCACTGCAAGAATTATAAGAGATTTATAGAACACCAACAAATTATGCGGTAAAAGTTAAGTTAAGTAACATAAGCTAAGTGAAAACGATAGTTATCGATGTTTGGAGCAACATATATAAACATATGCCTATCGATATATTATCCTAAATCTCTCACAGGAAGTGTTTATCGATATTTATCGATCTTGAATGAAACTAATATTATTTTTACACAAAAAGAAGCGACATAACGGATTATATTATCATAAGCTAACCTCAAATTGTGTTATTATATATCGATATTTATCGATTTGGTATATTTGCTCAATAGTTGGTCTGGAGCTTGACAAAATCGTGAGACCCTTTGTTAGGGCAAACATAGAAATATTTGCCACAAGCAGCATGCAAAAAAAGAAAAAGTGGCATGGTGTCTGGTCTGCCACGCCTCTGTCTCTGTGGCTCTGCCCTAGTGGGGCAAAACTGAGTTTCTCTCTCTCTCTCTCTCACACACTCTCTCTCCCTCTCTCTCTCTGTTTCTCCTCGCAGCTGTCGCCCATATTGGACAGTAGGTACTCGGTGCCGACAAATATCAACGGCATGGAACTGACGCTGACGGATCGAACTGAATTTGAACTGCATGGCGGCCTCTTTCAGCAGAATCGCGTCAATCGGTTTGTGGTCAAGGGACCGAATATACCCAATGGCAATGATCAGGTGGAATTAATAGATAACGCCTTTCGCGGCAATCTGGCTGGCTATCCGGATCTGCAGATACTCGGCGTTAGCTCTGTATTTGTGCGCAACTATTCGCTCTCAGGTGAGTTAACGAACTATTCTTGTTTGTAAACAAGCATACGTAAAGTCGATTAAGCTTTAAGTTGTTAGTGAGAAGCTCAAAATAAAACTAAATAATACCAGCTAAAAAACTGAAGCACATTAAAGCTTAAAACGGATATAGATGGGTCTTAAAATAACTTGAAAAGCTTTTAAGTGTGCAGAAAGTTTAAAAAGCTTTAAGCAAGCTTTAATATTCTGAATAGATAGCATGACATGACACTAAAGAAACGAAAATTAATAAGAAGCTCGAGTAGTATTTATAATACAAAGCTTTAATCTTGCTGCTAAAGCTTTACGTTGTTAGTGAGAAGCTTACAATAAAGCTAAAGCACATGAAAGAAGGCTTTTTTCATGTGTGGACAAACTTAAGAGAGCTTTAAGCAAGCTTCAATATTTTGAGGAACAACTAGGTAAAGTTTTTAATATCAACATAAAAGCAAAATAAAAAGCTTTGAATAGCGAAAAGCTGCAACAGTATTTATTTCTTAAAGCCTTAAGCTTAAACTGTAGATAAAGAGCTTTTAATGCCACTTAAAGCTCAAAACAAAAGCTTGCAAATTTTTAGTAAGCAAGACTTACTTAGCCAAAGCTTTGCATATTACTTAAAGCTACAAAAAGTTGGAATATGTAAAAGAGCTTTAATATGATTGATCATATATTCAGCTGTAAGCTAAAAGCTAGCTAGGAAAAGCTTTGAACTCCAATATCATAAATAGAAGAGACGAAAAGACGAATGATTGTGTTTAGACAATTTAATTAAGTAGCAGGAAGGGATTCATTGAACTAAATAGGCGCAATTAGACATACTTAAAGCAGTCTCCCTCTCTCTCTCTCTCTATTCTGACAGGTGGTGAGATCAAGCTACGTGTGGAGAACAGCGATTTGTTGGTATTGTTCTCGAATGCCTTCATCAATATGAACATGTCGTGCAATTTTACGAACATACGCAGTCTGGTGATAAACGAGAAGTCCTTCAATCCGATTCTCAAGTCCTACGTGAACGTGAGCATAACAAATAGTTAAATCTATTCAATGTGAAACTATTTTATAACAAAATAATCTCATTCAATAATTGCAGCTGCATATCGAAAACGCGCACATCAAGCACATCAACAGATTCGATGTATCGATGAATAAAATCGTCTTCATCAATTGCACCATTGGCAGCGTTCAGAGCCAGGCCTTCGATGTGACCAACATCAATCAGCTGGCCTTCGAGAACTGTCGCATCGGGAAAATCGAGGAGCGTGCCCTCACCAGCAAACTGTTCAGCGAGCACGTCTCCATTACGGGCACACAGATCGGCACCATCGACAGCAAAGCCATCATGGGCAGCGGCATATCCAAGCTGACGCTCAAGGAGAATACGTGAGTGCATAAGACAAGTTATTGAGAATAGCTCTTTGTCTGGCAGAAATAGGAATACGCAACGCTTGGGTTTATATTCACGCTTAACAAGAGATAAAGACAAAGAGAAAGAAGGAAGTATAGCATAAGATAAGATATCGATTATCGTATGTTCGTCTGTATAAATGCGACTGTACTCTGAGTTCTCATTCGCAGATAGATATGATTCCACAATATTCCTAATATACGAGTATATTCACAATAGTCCCCAGCAGTGGATTAAGATAAAGTGTCTAGGTGTCTAGGCTAACGTATAGCATAGAACGGTTGGATTTGATCCCATCTAGGTGCGATAAATGTGTGAAAAAGTAACACAACTTGCCAGCTGCAAAGGGCCGGATTAAGCGCTAGTTCCTCCATATTCTGTTAACTGTAAGCCCGCAAATTAATTGAAACCTTCTCGTTGTTCACTTGCAGCATTGATACGATCAAGGAGGACGCGATATTGGTGCACAGCGTCTTTGTGTATTTCGAAAGGAACTGGATTAAGTATCTGGGCGATAACTGGATCCATGTGAACAATGGCGAGCTAATTGCGATCGAGGACAATCATTTTGGCAACTTTGCGGCCATGCAACTGAATCAGGATCAACGCAAGCGTACCAATTGCACGTTCGTTAACAATTGGCTGGGCAATCCGCAGCCGAATAGCCTCAACTTTAGCAATTGTGAGGTGCGCGCAATAACCGTGGATCATGAGTGCAGCTGTGACGATGCCAAACGCTGGCTGCCCACGCTGACCGATCATGATCTCAGCTCGGAGCTCTATTGCCAGCTGGGCAAGCGTTTGGACAGATGCTTCAATGCCAGCCAGGTGCATTTGCGGCGTTACGTGAACGAGGTGTGCGGCATCAATCGGACCACGTTGCGCTGCATTGGCGGTCATACCATGAAATGGTATCGCGACAATTTCTATACGGAACAGGAGCGCGAACAACAAATGAAGGGCATCTCGAACGACATGGTTATACTGATTGTATTCGTTGCCATATTGGGCTGCGGCGCGTTTGTGCTCGCTGCGTGTTATTTGTGCGGCAAATGCAAATGTAGACGCCAGCGCGACACTTGCATTTTGTCGGATACGGATCGCAATATATTGGAAAAGGATCATGAGAGATTGTCAATGCGATCGGACGATAGCGTGGCCAAAAAGCTAATCAAGAAATTGACCAGCAACAGGCTAACGCCCGAACAATGCTCGAATGCGATTATGCAGCTGACGCAGCATTTGAAAAAATTATCTGATGCATCGAATCGTGTGCTAGCCAATCATATGGCAACGGCGCACAGTAAAAAAGATGACGACAATTATACACTTGCCAATCATCATCATCATCATCAGCAACAACATCATCATCAGCAACATCATCATCAGCACTCACCGCTGCCCACAGCGCCAACGCACGAATCAAACGATCAGGAGCCCATCTATGCCGAACCATTGCTACCCGCACAATATTCATTGCCATCGGATCCAATGGACGCGGCGGCCACCTCCTTCTACTCGGAGCCCTACAATTCAGAAGCCAGTGAGTATGGCAATTGAGCGTAGCAAATGCTGTTCCACACGATTATTCCTGATTATATATGCATATATATATATATATATATATCTATTTTTTTGATGTGCAATTTACGCATCTAATTTTTTTTATAATTTTTTGGCTGTGCGCATATATTTTATAATTAATCCGAAATTCTTTTGTGTGCCCAGTTTTATGATACTTAACTGGCAAACACAATTGTATTTTGTTAAATATTTCTTTATGCTATATCCATGTATCTGTTGTACCAAAATTAACAATGTATTCTATATACTAAACACAACAACAACAACAACAACAAAAACCAAAAAAACTAACATATTTTGAGCAACAAACACGATACACAACACAACACATTGTTAGTTAATAGTAAGCAGCGCACGTATACATGCGTTCCACATGGGATCCACATGTGATCCACGCCTGTAATGCAACACACAAGTGCAACAGCTTTGGTCGATCAAATCACACTTATAACATGGAATCCACATGCGATCCACAAGATAACACAAGCACTCAAAACATGGAATCCATGTGTATGATCCACACAGAAAATGCAATGCAAGATAATTGCCAAAGCTGGGCACACCGAATGTCCTAAAATCAGTTGGTACCTAGCATGGGATCCACAATAAACACAGCTCGATAATGCAAACACTTGAAACATAGAATCCACACATACGTAGCACACTTCAAATGTGACGAAAAATAATTGCATAAGCTGGGCACATTGAAATGCATAAACACTTGCGATGCACATTAAACAGAGCCGACTGAAGCTAAACATAGGATCCACAAGCGATCCATACATGAATTTCAACACGCAATAATTGCAAAAGCTGGGCACATCGTATGTGTAAACATGACTTGGAATCCACATATAGTCCACAGGGGATACACGCATACGATCCAAACCCCATGTATAACAAAAGCTGGGCACATTGAGAAGCGTAAGCATGTAAGATAAAAACGCGATCCATACAAGATCCACATGCGTTCCACAAATGCAAAATACGCATTATTTGATGTCTACTAAACACGAAAGTGGAATATGTGGAATGCATTTTGTTAATACGATAGGCAATGATAATGCACACAAACACGCACACACACACACATAGGCACACACACACACACACACACACACATAGGCACACACACGCACACAAAAGTATGCACAGGTACTAAGAGCAAGGCACATTTATGGAACGCATTAACCAAAAAGGTATTAAATTTGTAAAATTCTGATTTGTAGTAAACCTTGGTGTCGGTTCTCTCTCGCCCTCTCTCTCTCTCTCTCTCTCTCTCTCTCTCGCCCTCTCTCTCTACCTGTTGAATATTTGTTCTCATTCTCGCTGTCTCTCTAGCTATTGGGACATTTGCTCTCTTCCACTCACACTCGCTCTCGGGCGCAGATTCTCTCAACCTCCTCACTAACTGACCAACAGCTATGCAAATATGTATGTCAACTAATCGATTGCTCTCCGCTCGAATTGCAGATGCGAGCGATATGCCACAAGATCAGGAGGCTTTGCCGCAGTACGCCCAGTTGCAGCGCCAACCCATAGTCCAGGAGCGCGCCGTCCGTAGTGTGAGCAATGTTAGCAATGCCAGCTATGCTACGCCCGTTTGGCGTCAAACTGCCGATGCCACGCCCATACTGTTAACAACAACATTCTCCGCCCAGCCGTTAACGCAACGCCATGCACGCGATATGCGTCCAGATCTCGAGATGTCACAATTGCATCCCATCAGTCATCAGTCCAGCTCCACCAACGGCAGCCCGGCTCGCTTTCCCAGCAATCACAACACCATGCGAAGCTTTCAGTATCTGGACGGAGCCGCCAGCCTGGCCGCCATGGAGGATATGGCTGCGCTGCCGCCAGATTCTGGCTCAAATCATTCGGGGGGGAGTGATGAGACTGTCAAAATCGACGAAATAGAATACGTTGATGCCTAAAACTAACCAATATTATAACAAAAACACTTGTGATAACTAAACAAAAACAATATTTTATTTGTATACCCTCTTTTTTTTGTCATGACATGTGCAGCGCATAGAAGGAGATATTCGCAAAACCCATTAACTATATACATATATACCAGATCAGCCGAGTTGATATAGCCAAGTCCATCTGTCTGTCTGTCTCTGTGCTAACTAGTCTCTCAGTTTTTAGCTAGCTCCAGATCGGACCACTATATATTTGACAGTTTTTTTTATACTGTTTTTGCCAATATATCAAACTCAGCATTTAAGAGCCAATGTCTAAAAGGGTATCAGTTCTTCGGTGTGTCGAACATATCCTTACTTTCTCATTAGTTGAAGGCAAAGCATTCACAATCAAAGACAAGAAAACGAACTTAAACTCTTGTTGCCTTGAAAGCGAAAGTCGTATTTCCGGCCGATTTAATACAGGAAAAACCAAGAATTTTCACATGCTCCAATTTTGATTTTCCCCACCGAAAAAAGTGTCACAAAAGTGGGCTAGTTTTCTTTCCCGATTAGATATAATATGCGTCTCCTTCAGCTGCTGCATACACATGTCACGATTTATTCTACTATTAATCTGTTGTAATTTATTTAAAGAAAAAAAAAAAAAACAAAAAATTGTATAAAATTGATTTTGTTTTTCCTTTTCTCGGGGATGCGAACTACATTTCTTGTGAAATTGCTGCTGCATTTGAACCGGCGACTGCGCACTTGCTGGTTCAACGCGCAGACAACCAAGTTCGCCAAGCTCATGACGTCACATTTGCCTAACAAACCTATACATATATATATATATATGTATATATATATATAATTCTCAGCTTGGGGATAGAAACTTTCTTATGTACAAAATTTGTAACTTTGGACTGTTTGTAGACGAAACACTTTTCTAGATATGTTGGACACCTGCAGATGTGTATAGGGAACTATATATAAAGCAACATTTTCGACAGAAAGTGCTTGAGCTGAACACTGAGTCACAATTGCCAGACAGGCGATGCCATATTGGGTTGAAAATGCTTCGGTTGCATAAACAAAAGCCGCTTTGCGTGTGGCATACTTATTATTAATGGAGATTTTGCCACACTAGCCAAGTTTTGTTAAAGTCCGTTGAACATTTAACGGCGGGGCAAGGCATCTGACAGCTTGTTAATATGATTACTTATGTATATATATATATATTGTATATGCATTGCATTTTGTTGAATAACTTGATTTGCAAGCGCAATCAGCTTGCTTTGCATTCGGTTCTGGATTTTCGTTTAGACTATGCTAATTACATTCAGTGTAAGATTGTGCTTCTCACAGAGCATAGATCTTTTTATTAACCATGTACAATTTGTAGACATATTATAGGGGTTTAAAGAGTTATTTGAACTCTTTCAAGAGGCTAACAGTGTTCGGTTAACATTATGTTAAGTCTACAGTGTACTGTTGAGTTTCAGTCTGTAAAAGTATAGACTTACAGATTCTTAACAGCTATGGAATGCGTTTGTCGTCATTCGTCACTTTACAGCTGTTAGTAAAGAGAGTGCGTTGTATGTTATCTTAACAAATATTGAAGATATTTACATAAACAGTTTTGGCTGGAACAGTTTTGGCTGGCTTCTATATGCAGTTATGACTCAGATGTAATTAACATTTATACATTATGATAATGCAAATAAAAGGATGTGCGGCGTGTTGCTTCCTAGCAATAAGGTGCTGCGGGCAAAGGGTTTGTATTAAGTACAGTTAACATTCGCAGATAATGTTATTTCAAAATGTCTCGTGCTTTTACTTGCAGTTACCACGTAACAGCTTTTAGTAACAGAATGGTATGGCATGTGAGGCATTGTTTACATTTGTAGATTATGTCTAACAGCTGTAAGCAGGGGCTTTACATTTAATGGTAAGCTAGCCACATGCTTTACGTACTGTTATATAGACTTTTGGCTTATATAAGCTATGTAATTTAACAGCTATGGAGTGCATACACCCAACAGCTTACAGTTAGCATACGCTTGGTATGTTAAATTCAATTAACATATGTCTACTATGTTAACTGACATTTTATTTACATAGTCTTCGACCCCAAGCCACTGGCAAATCAGTCAGCAGATGATGCTATGTTACCTAACAGCTAAGGCAAGCTGTTACATACGCTTAACAGTGGAGAGATAGTCAAACACTTTATGTTAAGCTCAGTTAACATGTATCTACTATGTTAACCGGCATTTAATTTACATAGTTTTGGCTCCAAGCCGCCGGCAAATCGGTCAGCAGATGATGGACCTTAACAAGCACTCTAAGTGGTCGCTTGGCTCCGGGCGTACTTGTGGATTTTATGTTGTTTTCTTCTTTGTTTTGCGGGGGCATATTACACACCAACAACAGCAGCAGCAGCAGCAACGGCAGCAAGTGTCAAGCGATGCGTGTCAGGCCGACGCGCACTCAATTAAACGCGGCGCGAGCAATCAAAGCAACGGCCAACAAGAGACCACCGTGCGGGATTCGGGTACACAAAAGAAAACAAAACAACAACAAAAATCAAAGCGACCAATTAGAAACATTCGCAGACGGTTGCCAACGACTGCACAATACGCTGTTTACAGCGTATGATTGACTAAGTAAAAACAGTAAAAAGCAAGTAAGAGGTTCTAGTCGGGAGCTCGCGACTAGGGGATACCCTGAACCCTCTTCTTCCAACATCAAATGCATATTACTTTTAGAAGCTATATGTCAAGTTTGGTGACTCTAGCTCTTATTATTTGCCAAAATTGTCCAAAAAACAGGATATCGATATCGATTCTTATCGATTGCTTGGAAACGGAGTAAGTTATCAATTATCGGAAACAAACTCAATCTGCGCGGGCACTAGGAGCACCTACATTCAAAATTTAAAGTCTCTAGCTCTTATAGGTTCTGAGATCCTTGCGTTCATACATACGAACGGTCGGACATGGCTAAATCGACTCGGCTATTGATGCTGATCAAGAATATATATACTTTAAGGGGTCGGAGATGCTTCCGTCTGCCTGTTACATATATTTGAATTTTGCACAAATACAATGTACCCTTGTCCCAATTTTTAATGGGTTCAGGGTATAAAAAGGTAACATAATTAGTGCGATTGGTTAATTTTTAAATCGTGACTGTGAAGTGTCGTGTGACGTGTTCGCCTCTTCTAGAGGTATTTTTGGGTGTGTCCAAACTTCAGATATGCTCGGAGCTAAATAAGCCTATCAAAAAAGGAGGTCTAGTTCTAAAACTGTACGTCATATTGTGGGCGTGATCCAAAAATATTTGATCGATCTAATCTAATCTATTTCTAACATATAGAATAGACTACCTGTCTAATTTGACAAGTTCAGTTTCATTGGTTTCTTTATCTTCTGCTTGACAATTTTTTGTGCTCACTTCCTTATTTGTTCACTTTTTTGTTGTTCTCACTTTCGTAATTCCATTCTTTTCCACTTTTCACATATACATTTACACTGTTGATTTCCACTTTATCATGTACAATTATGTTCCGTTTCACTGTTTCATATGCTTTGGGCTATCTTTAACAGTAGAATTAAATGGGTCTAGCATCAAAAATTGAGAGAGTTATGTATATGAATTCGCGCATATGCGAATGTACACGAGTATACATAACATACATACATATATCAAGTATCAGGAACAAATTGCCTTCGAGCCGACAAAACTGATATGCTCTACTTCACGCTGTGCGCAGAGTATGAAAACAAACAAGAAGCAAAAGGCAAACAAAACGCAAAAATTCTTAAAGCTCACAAAGCTGCGCAGTCGCAGCGGCAGCGGCAGCCGCGCAGCAGCCGTACTGGCGCTGCCGCATGATCAGCGCTCGTGAGAGCGAGCGAGATAGACAGAGAGCGAGTGAGAGTGAGCGCAGAGCAGACTTCTGCTAATGCTGACGCTATCTCTGGCGCGACAGCGACCACGGCAGCGGCTCGTAAATGTTTCGTTGTCCGTTTGGCGCTCAGTTTGACATTTGCACGCGCTTACGCCGGTCGCGCCAGCCGAAAGCCCAGGCCCAGCCGTTGGTTAGTTGTTGTCGTTGTTGTTGTTGTTGTTTTTACATTTGCTATCGCGCTGTATTTGTGTTTTAATTTCGTGCGCTGATTTCATAGCTAATGCAAATATTTGCGTTTAGCTGTTTCTCTGTCATATTCTCTTTTATTTTTGTTTTTGTTTATACATATTTAAATACTAAGCTATGCGTATATGTTTGTGTGTGTGTGTCTCGCCCGAAAAACACAGTGCGCGCCCAACGGCCAATGGCCACAAAAAGTTCAAAGCAATAAAAACTGCAGCAGCAGCAGAAATTGTAATTTTTTTTTTCGTCATTTTTCATTTTTGCATGCGACCGCCGTCACACACACACGCACACACAGCAGCAGCACACGTGTGAGAGCAGAGAGCGCGAGAGAGAGCGAAAACTAAAACAAACAGCAGGCAGCGACGCGAGCAGCGCTGTAATTTGTTTTTTTGACAGGATCGTGTGCTCTCTTAGCAGGAGCTAACGCTCTCCCGTTCGCTCACTTTGCATGTGTGTGTGTGTGTGTGCGTGTTTGTGTGTGTTGCGTAAGTTAGTGGGAACAGTGAACTGAGATCAGCCGCCCCCACGCACCAAAGCAAAACAAAACAAAATAAACAATAACAACTTGCAAAAAAAAAAAAAAAAAAAACTGCTAATGGAATTTGCATGTGCGAGCGAGAGAGGGCGCATTCTTAAGAATCGCAAAGAAAGGCGCAAACAGGCAAAACAAATGACATTTCTACGCTAATCCGCACACACACTCCCCCTCATACACACACACACACACACGATCGCCGACCAATTGGGAGTTGTCAAACAAAACATCGCAAATGGCACCTTTCCATACTTATTGCCATATTGCCATATCCAAAGCAAATTATTTCAATATTTCAAGGTTATGAGTATGACGAACAAAATCTGTTTTTAGTTCGCTGCTGTTGTTGTTGTTGTTGTTGGAATGGGTTGGCGGGCAATAAAAATGCTAAAAAGCTGAAATTAGCTT